CCCCGGCTCCCCGCTGAGCCCCTCTGTCCCCCCGGCTCCCCGCTGAGCCCCTCTGCCTCCCTGGGCTCCCCGCTGAGCCCCTCTGCCCCCCCGGGCTCCCCGCTGAGCCCCTCTGCCTCCCTGGGCTCCCCGCTGAGCCCCTCTGCCTCCCTGGGCTCCCCGCTGAGCCCCTCTGCCCCCCGGGCTCCCCGCTGAGCCCCTCTGCCTCCCTGGGCTCCCCGCTGAGCCCCTCTGCCCCCCCCGGCTCCCCGCTGAGCCCCTCTGTCCCCCCGGCTCCCCGCTGAGCCCCTCTGCCCCCCTCCCAGCTCCCCCGGGCCCCCCTGGATCTGGAGCCCAGGGCCAGTGGCCTCCTCTCCAGCCTTTGCGCTCAGGCAGGGCTGGCTGCTGCTTTCCCTTGGGAGCCGCAGCTCTGTTCAGAGTTTTTGCGGTGACTGGAGGTGCGGGTCTCGCGGGGGATCCTGGCCGAGCTGGCTTTGAACCGCCGTGCTGAGAGTCGCCTCGTGAGTCTCTGGGATGGCGGGTGTGAGCCGCCAGCGCCTGGCAGTGTCCAGCCTTGCTTTTTCCTTTCTTTCTTTTTCTCTGGTGGGGCTTGATCCAGGGCTGGGTGCCGTCCCCGAGCTCTTCTGCTCAAGGCTAGTGCTCTGCTTTGAATCACAGCTCCACTTGGGGTTTTCGGGTGGTTCACTGGAGATACCCCGCCCGGGCCGGCTTTGAACCGAGACCCTCAGATCTCAGCCTCTGAAGTAGCGAGGATGACAGGCAGGAGCCACATTTGCTGCCAAGATGTCCTCTGTACGTCTGGCCCTCCGGGACCTGGAGGTGCCTGCAGGAGGCGGGCAGGCTCCCATGGAAACAGTGTTCACGGCTTGTGGCTCGGGACAAGGGGGGGGGAGAGTCGGCACCCCTCATCCCAGCAGCGGCCTGGGGCCTGGGGCACAGGCGCAGTGGCTGGGGCCTGGGGCATGGGGGCGCGGTGGCTGGGGCCTGGTGCATGGGGGCGCGGTGGCTGGGGCCTGGTGCATGGGGCCTGGGGCGCTGCGGGGGGGGCGCGGTGGCTGGGGATGGAGGGCGGAGCCTGGAGCCCCACGCTGGGCCAGCTGTCCATGCAGGCCCTGCCTGAGCGCCTCCCCCTCCAGGCAGGCCAGGCCGCGTCCAGGGCAAGCCATCTGGAGAAGGGCCAGCACGCGGCGCCCGGCACAGCCCCCGGCAGCTTTCTCAAGGTGGGAATTCACAGGGAGGGTGGGGACCCCACTGCGGGCCCGTGCTGTGTGTGGGGGGGGGGCTGGCTGCCTTGTCCGGGAGGGAGACTCTGATCGTCGCCCGCAAGGGTGGGCTGGCCCACTCCTCCCACGGGGCAGAGCCAGCCAGCGCCCTAGTTCTGCTCCAGGATTCTCCCCTCAGCAGCCCCCACACCCTGTCTCACAGGTGAGGCCACTGAGGATCAGAGAGTGCAGAAACAGTCCTGAGGTCACACAGCTGAGAGGACTCAAACCGCCAGACAGGCCATTTACCCAGGAGCCTTTGCTCAAGCCTCTGTCATTAGGGTTGTGCTCACAGCTTTCCTGAGGGCTTGGCTTTGGGCTCAGTTCAGCCTCCCAGAGCCTAGTGTGTACATTGCCCAGCGTCTGCACTGTCCAGTGTCTGCACTCTCCAGCGTCTGTACTGCCCAGCGTCTGCGCTGTCCAGTGTCTGCGCTGTCCAGTGTCTGCGCTCTCCAGCGTCTGCCCTGTCCAGTGTCTGTACTGCCCAGCGTCTGCGCTGTCCAGCGTCTGCACTGCCCAGCGTCTGAGCTGTCCAGCGTCTGTGCTGTCCAGTGTCTGTACTGTCCAGCGTCTGCCCTGTCCAGCGTCTGCACTGTCCAGCGTCTGCGCTGCCCAGCGTCTGCGCTGTCCAGCGTCTGCGCTGTCCAGCGTCTGCACTGCCCAGCGTCTGAGCTGTCCAGCGTCTGCGCTGTCCAGCGTCTGTACTGTCCAGCGTCTGCCCTGTCCAGCGTCTGCACTGTCCAGCGTCTGCACTGTCCAGCGTCTGCGCTGCCCAGCGTCTGCGCTGTCCAGCGTCTGCGCTGCCCAGCGTCTGCGCTGTCCAGCGTCTGCGCTGTCCAGCGTCTGCCCTGTCCAGCGTCTGCCCTGCCCAGCGTCTGCGCTGTCCAGCGTCTGCCCTGCCCAGCGTCTGCCCTGCCCAGCGTCTGCCCTGTCCAGCGTCTGCCCTGTCCAGCGTCTGCGCTGTCCAGCGTCTGCGCTGTCCAGCGTCTGCGCTGTCCAGCGTCTGCGCTGCCCAGCGTCTGCGCTGTCCAGCGTCTGCCCTGCCCAGCGTCTGCGCTGTCCAGCGTCTGCGCTGTCCAGCGTCTGCGCTGTCCAGCGTCTGCACTGTCCAGCGTCTGCCCTGTCCAGCGTCTGCGCTGCCCAGCGTCTGCCCTGTCCAGCGTCTGCACTGTCCAGCGTCTGCACTGTCCAGCGTCTGCGCTGTCCAGCGTCTGCGCTGTCCAGCGTCTGCACCCAGCGTCTGCCCTGTCCAGCGTCTGCGCTGCCCAGCGTCTGCCCTGTCCAGCGTCTGCACTGTCCAGCGTCTGCCCTGTCCAGCGTCTGCGCTGTCCAGCGTCTGCCCTGTTCGGTGCCAGCTCAGCCTCTATGTCTGTCCCTTGAGGAGGGCTGGGTGGGAGGGGGCTTTGGGGGGCTTGTGGGGCCTTGGGGTCTGTAAGCAGTGCCCGGAGGTCTTGTGAGTCTGGTCAGGGGAGGGTTTCTGGGTCACTGTGGGCATTGAAGGCAGGACGCCACGCCAGGATGTGTCTTGTGTCCGCCTCTGGAGCACACCGCGCGGCTCCCCGCCACACCTGGCTCTGGCCCTGGGCGGGAGCTTTCTGCCTGACCGTTCGCAAGGCTGCTGGGGCCTTGGCTGCCCTGCGCCTCCCTCCTCTCCTTGCCTCACCCCTCCCTGCGCCCCGTGCTGGGGCCCCTGCGGGACACTGAGGCCCTGCCTGGTCCTCATGCTCCGTCCCTAGGTCCTCCAGCAGCCTCTCCGCTTCATCCAGGCCATGTTTTACCTCCTCCTGGCCTCAGTTTCCTTTCCTCCGGGCAGCCTGCTTGGGGAAGGGGGGAATCAGAGCACTACTGTGACTCAGTATCCCAAAGCTCCCGGTCTGAATCGCCACCACCTTCTCATCCTTTTAGGCTGCTGCTGGAAAAGCCTGCCACCGGGAGCCGGTCCAGAAGCCTGGCTGCTCCTCAGTCTGTTGCCTGGCAGCCAGAAGGGGGAAGGGAGCGAGGGAGGGAGGAGGGAATCCTCAGGGCCCGGCAGGGATGAGGAGCAGGGTGGCAGCCTGCTCAGAGGACAGAGTCAGGCTGGGGGTGGGGGACGGGAAGCCCTTTTCCAGGGCGCAGCGCAGGCTCTGTGCCCGGGACCCTGCGCCCCCCAGAGGCATCTGCAGTGACCACAGGCCCTTTAAACCTCACGTCTCTGCCATCATCGTACTCACAAAGGTTTCTAGGAATTAAGATTAAAAATGAACAAACAAAAACCACAAAAAGTGAAAGACAAGAGCCAACCCACAGCCAGGCTTATGTGGACTGGAACTCCAAGAACCTTCTGGAAGCCTGGGGCTGCTGGGGGGAGGGGTACCCTCCTTCTGACATTCCATTTTAATAATATTTGAAGTATTCTAATTAAAGGCTCTGTGCTCCCTTTGAAATACTAGCAATTACAAAGATGAATAATTGCATAATAAATATTAATTTGCATCACGGTAATGAGGCCCCGAAGCATCCCGCTGTTCAGTGAGAATTTGGCATTTCCCTCCCTGGGTGGGGGAGGGGAGGCGGGCGGGGGGGGGAAGGGGGGTTCCTGGGACCCGGTGGCCACACAGGACAGCCCCTAGGCACGGCGCCTCCTGCCTGGGCTGTTGGAGGATGGAGGGGCCTCAGTTTCCCTTGCAGGCAGTCTGGAGATTCTGAGCCTGCTTTAAGCAGGTGCCACCCCCAATCTAGGATCCCCGAGATCCTCCTGAAGCAGCCCGTCCAGGCTCCTCGGCACAGCGTGCGGGCCAGGCTTCCGGCCTGCGACTGCGGACAGGGGCCGCGGCAGGGCTAAGCCCTGGCCTTGGCCTTGGTCCCTACATAGCCTCTTCCGGCTTCCAGAGCTGCTCTTCTCTCTCAGAAACCAGAACTCACCTGCTGCACCTCCGGCCAAAGCAGCGTGGCCTCGGCCGCCCGCACCGGGCAAAGGGGCACGGAGGCAGCTCTGGCCAAACACAGGCCACAGCGAGACTCGGTACAGTGCCTGCCGCCCAGTGCGGCCACGCGTCTGGGAAGGCAGGCGGAGGCCGGGGGCCGGAGGCCCAGGCTCCTCTGGGTCCCTCGCCCGCCTCGAGGTCATCCCCAGGGAGTTTCTGGCCTCAGAGCCCTCAGCACCGGCCTCCGCCCCGCGTGGGCCTCGTGCACCCCCAGCTGCTGCCGGCCCTGCCCAGGCCTGCCTCCCCCCTCCCCATGGAGCTCCCTGGGCACAGGGCACGTTAGCTGAAGAGACAGAGGAGAATGTTCTAGAAGACGGCAGCAATGTGCTGGAAAGCAGAGGGGGCCGTGGCCGTGGTTTCCGGAGGTTGGGGGTGGTTGCTGTTAATCGTGGAGCACCTGTCACCATGACAGCTGCCCAGTCCCCCCCCCTCACCCTGGGACACGAGTCTGTGGGGGGATTCTACAGGTGGGGAGACTGAGGCAGAGGAGCCAGGACCCCAGGCCTCAAGCAGGGAGCCCGGGGGTGGGGGTGGCCCTGGCTCCCAACATGAGACATCCTGATCACGGGCGCCGTGGGGTCTGCACGGCGGGATGAAGCTGAGCACCCTGGCTGTCCATCTTGATGATCAGAGGCGCTGAGGGGGGCCTGTGGGGGCCCGGGGCGCCCGTGATGGGGGGCCGGGGACGCAGAGGCGCTGCGGGGGCCTGCGGGGGCCCGGGGCGCCCGTGATGCAGGTGGGGACGCAGAGGCGCTGCGTGTGTGCGGGAGCCGGAAGCTGTGGATGCTCACCTCGAGGGTCTGGTGGGGGCCGGCTGGCCGTGTGTCTGGGCCGGCTGGCCGTGTGTCTGGGCTGGCTGGCTGTGTGTCTGGGGCCGGTGGGGGCCGGCTGGCCGTGTGTCTGGGTCTGGTGGGGGCTGGCTGGCTGTGTGTCTGGGCTGGCTGGCCGTGTGTCTGGGCTGGCTGGCCGTGTGTCTGGGCCGGCGGGCTGTGTGTCTGGGCTGGCTGTCCGTGTGTCTGGGGTCAGTGGGGGCTGGCTGGCCGTGTGTCTGGGTCTGGTGGGGGCCGGCTGGCCGTGTGTCTGGGGCTGCTCCTTCTTGGAAGCCTTGGCCCGCAGGCTGCTGGCCGGAGCAGGGAGCGACCCCCAGGTCTCCGCCCTCCCGGCCATCCTCCACGGCCGGCGTGAGCCCGCTGAACAGGGCTGGCCTGGAGCGGCCCTGCCCGCAGCCTGTTCTTTTTTAATAATTTGTGTTGAGATCGAGCGATGGCAAACATTTCACAGCAGTGCAGAGTGACACTTTGTTAAAGCCACAGCTGACCCTCCACCAGGCCGCTGCCTTGCCCGAGCGTGTTGGCGAGTTCGGGAGCTCTGACAACATGAGGACTTCTTCCTCGCGGTGATGCGCACATTTCCTTCCTTTGCGCGGCGTCAGCCGTTCCCTCCCTCCTTCCCTCCCTCCCACCGCCGCCCTTGGCTGGATGAGCTGCTTTCTGCAGTGTCCAGTGCCGCTGAGTCTGTGTCCTCCTCCTGGCTTCCCTCAGATGTGCACACACACGTGCACACACACATATACACAAACACGCACGTGCACACACACGCACACATATACACAAACACGCACGTGCACACACACATACACAAACACGCGCGTGCACACACGCACACACATATACACAAACACGTGTGTGCACACATGCACACATATACACAAACACGCACGTGCACACATGCACACATATACACAAACACGCGCGTGCACACACACACATACACACAAACACGCACGTGCACACACACATATACACAAACACGCGCGTGCACACATGCACACATATACACAAACACGCGCGTGCACACACATATACACAAACACGTGCACACACACGCACATGCCACACATACACACATGCACGCACACACACACATGCGCACACACACACACACACCATCTATGCAGTCAAGAATGTGGAGCCACTTAGAGATGTGGAGTCCGGTTCCCTTTGTTATCTCCTTGTTCTGGATGTCACGTGCACACGCCAGGGGGACCACGTGCTGTTTGTGTCTCTGCGCTGTGTTCCAGCTCCATCCACCCTCGGTGTGATTGGGGGGAGGGGCAGCGGGGGGA